TATCTTATCTTATCTTATCTTATAATATCTTTTCTTATCTTATCTTAATACACTTCTTGTTTTTTGTTTTTTTTTTTGTTTTGTTTTTCTAGTCACATCTATACTTTTAACTAGTGGATTAGCTCTAGAGTTTTCTGGCTTTTTTCCTCTCATTTGGAGGAAAGTGTCAAGTGACCCTCAACACCCCGGAAGGTAAAGGTGGGGGAATATAATCCAGTCATTGATGAGATACTTTGCTAATAGACAGACAAATTTAACTCCAGAAACTGTTGGCAAAATATCTTAAAACAAACATCTCATGATGTGTAGTCAGAATATGTCTTGGGAATAGTTCTCAAGTACCATCACATCAGTTATTAGCTGAATTACTCATCACATACTGTCACATACAACACTGAATATATATACGTGTATATACTGTATATATCACATGCACTCTGTGGAAAGGCATGTCAAAAAAGCCTTAGAATGGTAATATTAATATGCAATCTAAGCATGCAATATTTATTTTAATGCCAGAGTAGCATTTAGGCTTGTCAAAATATGTAGAAATAGGGTATTTTTGCATTCATATTTAAAGGAGCATGATAGCAGCGAGTCACCACTTGATGGCAGCAAAATAATGTATTTAAACAGAAGCAGAATAGTGGACAGAAAAAAAAAGATAACCAAAGAAAACATAAAAGAGGCTTGTTTCAATGCTGACAAAAAAGAAATACAAAACAATGCTGGTGTTGTGACGGCAATGTCTATTTGGAGTAAAACTCTAAAATCTTCTTTAAGCACATTCTTATGGAGAGATTTGTCCAAATAAGTGTGATCACAAAAAGGAAGGTTATTATTTTTTTTTTTTGAGAATTTAAGTAGGTGGTTGAAAAACAAACTCTTCTAATGTTCAGTGAGAAATAAGTCACACAATTAAAGATGCACGTCTCAAACTTGGCAGAACATAAACATTCCAGTATTTGTGTTGAAGTATTTTACCATGCTAGGACAGTTACGTTTTATTTGCTGTTTAGGCTCTTCTTTTTTTTTCTAACAAAACAATTAACCAGATTTTTTTAGCAACTAGAAATAATAAAAAATACAACATTTGATAAAGATGAATAGTAAAATAGTAAATTGGCAATGATGAGAATCTTGACAGTTGTTCAATGTAAAGCTCTATATGATACAAGTCAAACCAGTTTGTGGGTCATGCAGGTTTTGCAGCTCTGGTTAAACAAAGAGACATTACATAAAGGTATCACATAGAAATGCTCCTCTTGTACTGTGTGTAACTGATTTTAGACGGAAGTGCATTTATTTATTTTCCGCAGGCTTAAGTATTGCTTCAAAGTGTGTCAGTCTTTCTGTCTCATCCACTCTCCTCTTGACCCATGAATCTGAAACCACAACAAAAGCGCTGACATTTAAAATAAAAAAGCCAGAAGGTGAGAAGTGTGCCAGAAGCATGTGCACCAACTGTTTTATTCTTAAATCTCTTTCTCCCATTTTTTTCTGAGCTGCAAACCAAGGCTAGTGTTTGAATAACTTGTGAGCAGAGATAAGAAAGTATTTATTTTTCTATTAAATGAACCAAAATACATCAACAGCAACATTGGCTTTTCTTTTATTTTCTTCTGTTGTTGATTTAAACTTTGAGATTTTTTTGTTCTTTTCTGAACATAATCTTCACTCCATTTGCGAAACCAGTCTTTGCAAGATTAAAAGTGTGAAATGGAGTTTTCCTTCAGTTTTAGTAAACTGTTTTCACYTCTCTTCTGAGAAGAACAGTAAGACCAACCTTGCCCATTCTCTGGCAATTTCTCAGCATCATTTTTCAGAAACACCTGTGTGTGATCTTCCACGTGGACGTCCTGAAAGTTATCTCCAAATCTAAGTAGAACACACAAGCGCCATAAATCAGTATTTGATTTCATTTTGAGTATCAGAACAGATAAATACAAGGAGTTACAGACATGATGTGTGTTCTCTTTAGCCACACAAAGCTGCAGSGGATGTGATGGAAATATAACAACATCTAATGGCTAACAATTTTGGTTTTGCACTATCAGTTTGCTGTATGTGTGGCAGCCCTTTTAATTACCAGTGATAGTTTTGAAAATGACTCCTTTTGTCAATCCCTTATAGGTTTCACCCCTGAAAAAAAAAACATTAACACTTTACCAAAAGACACTCAGTGACAGTTAAACTCAAAAAGATGGGGGGCGGGGGGTGGGTTCACACACAACTAAATTTAGAGATCTCAATGGTTACATGTCCATGGCTGAGTTTTAGATTAGGCTGCATTTAGGCCTGAACCGATGAAACTTCCTTCTCTTTATCTGTCTGGTGTGAAWAAAAAAGTTTGAGTTCACATTTACTTCCTGTTTTCAGTTCAACTCATAGCAGCTGTGTATCCATTTCTGTCAAACCACCAGTGTTTGTATCCCCACATCCCAGTTTCCTACAGCAAACCTGTAGCTGCTCGCTGCACGGCGGCCCCTCAAGCTGTAGCTTCTGTTCCAATGTATTTTCACACTTCAAGCTGATCTGCAGGTGTTCTCTGCTCCACAAACCCSTACTTTCTGTCACATTCTCTATCTTCCTGTGTCAGATGCACTCATCCCTCTTTCTCGCTCTGTTTTGTTTTTGTCACAATTTAATTGTTGTTTCTTACTGTCCTCCCTACTCTTTCAGTCTGACTTCCCAAAAAGCCACCACTGCAAGTGCTAATGTGTTTTTGAGCTCACTTTGCAAACTCTTCCTTCCTGTCTGTCCTCTATCTTAAGTCTGCTCTTCTTCAAAATTTTCCACAGTCACGTGTAGCTGCACTTTTGTTTCTTTTTTTTTTCTGTCTAAAACCCTTTTCTCCACCTGTTTTTCTATTTGTACTTTTTGCTCACGCCAGTCACCAAACATGACTGCACAACACGGGTACGCATCGGAAGGAAAATGGAAGTTCCCTTCCTCCCCACATAATATACAGACCTCGGTCTTTAACCACAAACCAGCCCACCATTACCCAGAAACCTTTGCGTCAAGACGCCAAGTCTCACTAGCATAGTGTCTGCACAAGGTGTCAAAGAGCTGGCCTCAGAAATTGAAATTAGGAGACTCGCTTCAACTTAACCGCTACAGTATTTATTTTCAGTGATGTTGTAAATAAGTTGTTTAGTTGCACAAGTAGATTATTACAAGTGTCACCACTGAGCAAAAGAAAAAAAAACACACTGGAAGAAGCCATAGATGAAAGATGTCCAAATATTCTCAAGCATAATTGTCCAAACCTCTCTCCCATCGTGTCTTTATTGTTTCAACAATAATGCTACATTAGTCTGTGTCTGCAGTGCACACATCTTTTCCCAGTTTCTCACATTACAGCAAATGCAAGAAACACAAACACTTCACAGAGCTACTGTACTTGATATCAGCTTTCTACCGTGCTCCAACTGGCCTTACTAACTTCTTAAATATGGGTGTGTAACTGAAACTAACCAGGACTGTTGGTTGTTGTTATGTGTGTGTGTGTGTGTGTGTGTGTGTGTGTGTGTGTGTGTGTGTGTGTGTGTGTGTGTGTGTGTGTGTGTGTGTGTGTGTGTG